CCTGCGCGGGGGCGGCGGGGAGGGGACGATGGAGGCGCGCAGGGCCCGGCGGCCCCGCGCCCCTCACAGCGCCCAGCGCCGCCAGCAGCGCCGCGGGGCCCGGCCCTGAGCCACGCCGTGAGTCGGGGAGCTCCGCGGGGCCCTGAGGGGGGTGTCCGCGGTGCGCGTGTGTCCCCGGTGCGCGTCCCTCTGTGCCCGTCCCCGGTGCGTGTCCCTGTGTCCCCTGCCCGGTGCCTGTCGCCGCCGGCGTGTGTCCCAAGTGCCCGCGTTCCCTCATCCCTCCTGGGCAGCCCCGAGGCCGGATAACCCTTCCCGCTGGGATGGATCGCGGGCCAGCGCCGCTGTTTGCCCGCCGAGGCCGGGTAACGCTTGCCGGCTGGATTTTGGGGGTGAATTCCAGGTTTTTAGGGGCTGAATTGTGGGGTGACTTCCAGGTGTTTAGGGGCTGAATCTTGGGGTGAGTTCCAGGTTTTTATGGGCTGCATTTTGGGGTGAATTCCAGGTTTTTAGGGGCTGAATCTTGGGGTGAGTTCCAGGTTTTTAGGGGCTGAATTTTGGGGTGAATTCCAGGTTTTTAGGGGCTGAATTGTGGGGTGACTTCCAGGTGTTTAGGGGCTGAATCTTGGGGTGAGTTCCAGGTTTTTAGGGGCTGAATCTTGGGGTGAGTTCCAGGTTTTTATGGGCTGCATTTTGGGGTGAATTCCAGGTTTTTAGGGGCTGAATCTTGGGGTGAGTTCCAGGTTTTTAGGGGCTGAATTTTGGGGTGAATTCCAGGTTTTTAGGGGCTGAATTTTGGGGTGACTTCCAGGTTTTTAGGGGCTGAATTTTGGGGTGACTTCCAGGTTTTTAGGGGCTGAATCTTGGGGTGAATTCCAGGTTTTTAGGGGCTGAATTTTGGGGTGAATTCCGGCTTTTCAGGGAAGACCCTCGGGGCTGCTCTCCCTGCTCATCTCGGGAGGTGGAACAAGCTCAGCCTGGGGCGGTTTGTGCTGGCCAGGACAGTGTGTGGATCCTGTTTCCACCCTGGAATGCTGCTTTTCTCCCATTTTCTATCAGCAGAGCTATTAGAGAGCAGAGGTTACGGGACAGAAAAAAACCAAAAAAACCCAAAAAACCACAAACCCAAACAAACCCTTTTCTATGTTGTCATTACAGGCACGGGCCAGCCCCGCTGTTTGCCCCCCAGGGTCCAGCCCTGGGTTTGGGTGCCCTGTGTTTGGGTGCTGGGGCTCAGCAGATGCAGGGTTAACAAATGGACTTGTTTTGCTTGCACACGTGATGCTCAAACTGCCTGGGTTTTGGTGGAAATAGCATTTGGGTGTGTAATCGGAACCTAAAATTGTGTCTGCTGCCAGACTGCCTGGGTTTTAACAGGGGTTTTGCTTCTCTGCAGGCTCGCTGGAATACGAAATTCTGACTAAACCAAGCTTTGTCTGTCTGATGGAGTTGTTCCTTCGTTTTTGTGTGTGTGAGAGGGGGTTTAGTGCCTTCGGGATGGAGTCATGGGCACGTAACCTCTGCTGGAGTGCTTTATTCAGCAAAATGCAACAAAAGAAAGCTCCACAGAGCAGAGTGATCAAGCACACAGTGCTCTCTAGCAGTGGGACAGGAGGTGCAGTTTTGGATAGAACATTGTCCTCTTATGCCCCAGGAGAAAGCCAGTAATAAAGTACAAAATGATATAATTTCTAAGAAATCGCTTGGTGGGTGGTTAAAGCACTGCGAGGATTTTGTCAGGATGGAGCCTACAGTAATCCTTTAACCAGGATGATTTAGGGCAGGGCATTTGACAGGAAAAGTTTGTTACGAAAGAACAGCTTACGAGCATGGTCGTTATAAAATGAAATTAAATCCCTTGGTGATTTGCACCCTTGCAGCTCCTATAAAGGTGGTTTGGTGAAACCTTTGGGAAGTTGTTGTTCAGGGGAACGTGGAGTGAAATTAAAAATGGGAAACTACAATAAAACTGGAGTTGGATGCGTGTGAGAGGTGATTCACCTGGCTGCTGTGTCACCATCACAGATATTTGTTGTTAAATGTTGACACTTCCTCAGCTGTCCTTCCTTCTGCAGTGCTGGACATTTAAATACTTGCTTTTCTCGTGTTGTTTTCATTTTGGACATGATTTAAAACAGAGCAGCCTTTTCATTAGTTTGTTACCATGTGCTTAAAGGTTTTTTGGATCCCATCCTGGAAGCTGTTCAGTGGCAGTTTTGTCTTATGTCAAGTCTGCTTATTCAATAAAGGTCTTGTGAGGGAATGTTAATTAAACAGTACATGGTGTAAGCTGTAGTTAAAACATCCTGAGTTGGAAAGTATTACATGGAGGGAATATCAAGTTCTTAGGCTGTATTTAGTATGTCTGTGCACTTCTTACTTCCAGTTTTGAGCTAATCTGATTTTCTTTGCTGTCAGCATCTGTCAGATGAACATTCTTCAGTCAAAGTCACATGGAAACACATCTTGCTTATTACATAAATTATTGTTCTCTGCCTCCTTTGCTCAACAAATGGACACAAAATTTATATATCAGCTCAAATTGTCTAAAAATAGAGGTACATTTGGCTAATCTTAGCTGGACAAAACTGCAGGTCTGTTGCAATATCTGTTCCCAAGCAGTGGTCATCACAGCAATGAGTAACCCCCAGTTAAACATTGATACCTTCCAAGGGCAGGGTGCTATAAATCATTAATGGCTGGCATTAATTGCACCTCTTTGTAGTGATGCTCTCCTCGGGTTAGCCCAAGCTTACCAAGCAAAAGCACTTTTTAATTTAATTAGGTGGTGGTGCTGTCTGGTTTAGTAATGAGTCTAAAATTACAGCTGTGCTTTGTTGGTGGTGTTGTCTGCAGGTTGGGGCTCTGGTGAAATGATGGGGTTTGCCATTCTCTGGGGACTTTCCCCCAGATACCCTCGTTGGGTGATGGTTTCCCAGAGCCACATTCCATTTTCATGGTTGCACCAATGTTCAGTTCCCCTCTCTGCAGGATGAGGTGGGAGCTTCATCCAAAGTGATGAAACCATTGGAAAAAACATCTGCAGATTTTTACTGAACCAAATTTTTCCCCCTGTCTTGGAGTCAACTGACTTGAGGAATGTGCTCACTCACATGGATACTATTTGTTTATGGTTTAGTGTTTGTTCATACACTGAAAGTTGGTTTCTATTTTTATTCTGATAAGATTTCTCCTCTACTTCCTTCAAGTAATGATGACAACTTGCTCACAAGATCTCTACAACTTATTTCAAGTTTGGGTTTTGTTTTGGTTTTGTGGTTTGTTTTTTTTTACTTTTGCAAAGCTGTGCTCTACCCAGCTGTTTATCTCTCATTTGTGCTGGTTGTTCGTGGAACTGAAATACTGCACATTTGTCCTTCTTTTGTCCTGTTTGGTTTGGATCATCTCCCCAGTTTGTCAGAAATGAGTTAAGGACTTCGGTATTGTCCTCCAGCTTGTTTCTGTCTCTCCTCAGCTTGGTATTAAACTCTTTTATTTCAAAAGCTGAGGCTTCTTAAGGTTATTTCTGTGGCATTATCTGACAGGGGCGGTATTTTTTTTAATCTGAGTGTTTTATTTTATCTATTTAATATATGCATCACCTCATAGGAGACTTTATAGTTTTTCCTGACTTTATAGTTTTCCTGTGCCTTGATCCCTTGGCACGTATTTAAAGTTTTTCTTTCTTTTAAACAGCTAAAAGAAATTAGTTTTATCTCTTGTGTAACTGAAGACACAAATCTGTGCCGGGCCTCTTCTCAGTCTGGGAACACACTGGTCATTTTTAATTCCAGGAACTTCTCATTACCTTGAAGAACTTCCCAGATTGTTAGGAGAGATCTTTATTAGTGTGTGCAAACTAGGTTTAGTGTAACATGCTCCTCCAGATTTTCTTGCAGGGACTTTAAAAACACTTTAATTGCTGAAAAGCAATTATAAAAACCACTGTGGGGGCCCTGGCAAAACTCCACCTTGGTCAGCAGCCCTGACCACAGAGCAGGGGCTGCAGAAAGCAGGGAAATGGCTCAAAGCGCCAGCTCCTCATCTCCTGGACAACTCCAGGAGTTTATGGATGTGAAGCACAACTCCAGTGATTTTTTTTGATGTTCAGCATGTTATCTACTGAGAGAAGAGGGATTGTGATAGCAAATCCACTGTTTTTCCTTGAGCCAGCTGATCCCATAATTGGAATTTAAAGGAAAGCTCCGTTGCCGTTGCCAGCACTGAGGTTTTGCCTGTCCCTCTCCACCGCAGGGATTGAATTTCTCTCTCTCTGGCTGAGGTTCCTGCAGCTCCAGCATGGAGATGAGTCGGGAGAAGCTGTGTGCCAGCAAGGCTGATGGCAGCTCAGACTCTGCCTACCACTGCTCGGCGTGCCACGGTGACGAGGAGTGGGGCAGCACCAGCCGGGGCCGGGCCAAGTCACGCAGTTTGTCAGCTTCACCTGCCCTTGGAAGCACCAAAGAATTCAGGTGAGGCCCCTGCTTCTTCCCCTGGCTGCTAAAATATGTGTAATTAACTAGATTTTAGTGGTTTTTTCATATGGCCATGAGGGGTTCTTAAAATGTGTCTCAGAAGGTTCAAAACGAAGGTGGGGAGTTGAAGGTGAGAATCAAAGAATCAAAGTTGAAGGTGAGAATCAAAGTTGAAGAGCAGAATCAAAGTTTCATGGCTTGTCAAAACTGGTGTCTGCAGAGCTCACAGTCTCCAAAAAATAATCAGTCAACAGTAAGAGACAATTCTTCAGGCTTTTACAAAAGCTCAAGCCTGAGCTTTAGTGCTGTGTGTTAAAAACCTGCGTGTGGGGCAGCAGAAAGTGGCTTGGTGTTTGCAGATGGTTTCAGAGCAGTGAAAAACACCCATTCTTTTTTTGAAGCCAACTTTCTGATCTCATTGCAAGGCTCCTGTCATGTGGACAGGGTGGGTAGAACTTCTGATCTGGTGATCTTTGGACCTGCTGTAAATATTGAACGGCGGGCAGGGGCAGCGCCATGTCTTGATCTTGTGGGAGGCACAGGCTTCACCTCCCTTGTGCTCTGACTGTCCCCAGAGCATGGGCAGAGGCACCAGGGAGCTGCTCAGCAGATGGAATTCCTGTTCAGAGCTCCTGCTTTGCTGGTAGGAATGCTCTTGGGAGGCAGGAGAGCCAACGGGTGAGGCTGAAGGGCACAGGGGGTGGCTTGGTGGTGAAGGGAGGCAAGCTAAAAGCCTTGAAAGGTTAGGAAAATAACTGCTCTGTGTTTGTAGTTCGGTGTATTTGATGCTTCTGGGAAGTGTCTTCTGAGGGCTGGGCTCTGTGGGAGCTCTGGTGATGTGTGTATGGTCAATGTGTAAGGCTTGATATTTAAATTGTGCTGTAAAACCTTGTGGTTTTCCCTTCTCTACTCAAACCTTTCAGTCAGCCTGCATAGAAGGTCTAAATTTTTGTGTGTTATTTTCTAGCTGAACAGCTGCTTTTTCAGCCAGAAGTGCTGTGTCTTTTGTGGGCTTGAATCAGGGTAATTGCTTCTGAGATTTTCCTTCATTAGGATGCTCTGCAGTCATTCTCTGGCTGTCTCCACTGCAGAGCTAAATTGTCTCAGGGCATTTTGCAGGCTGGCAGGAAATGCTGCTCTCAGGCTTCCTCTGTGCTGCTCAGCTCCAGGTAGCTGCCCAGCTGCTGGGAGCTGATAAATAGATTTTCCTAAAAGATGTATAATTTCCAGGGCATTGTTGCTCATTCTGAGCAAGGGCAGCCTGACTAGGAATAACTTGAAATTCTGTCCACTCAAGCACTAATAAAACCATGTGGAATCTCAGGGAGAACTTACACCACTTATTAATTAGGGATTGCAGAGAAAACTCTTGGAATGTCATGAAGGTCACACATGGATATTTAAAGCCTCACATGGGAGCAAAATTTGGTCAGTTACTGGGAGTGGCATCAAATAATGACCTGTGTTGGGAGAGGGCAAAAATTACAGTTATCTGGGAGAAGCTGGAGTGGAGCAAGCAGTGGGAGGTGAAGCTGCCAGGGTGTTATTTAACCATCCTAATGCCAAGGGTAATTGTTCACAAGCAGATAAAGACTTATCATCCCTTTGCCCATGTTGAGAGACACGCTAATCTCTTGTTATGTCAGTCCTTGCTCATTTTTCTGTTTTAATATCAGTAGGGTAAAGTTTATAAAACACGTAGTAATGCTCTTATCTAACTTGGTCAGTCATACCTGGACTTGCAGATGGAAAAGAAATTATTCTAGTTTTGTTATTGGAATTCAGATCTTAGACTGGCCTATTTTATTAGGCAAGGAACAAATAAGATGTTGCTGTTGTTCCTTAATTATATGTTTAACCTGTGATCTGGTTTTGATTTTTATTAAATTTCTGAGGGTTTTTTTAGCTCTAGGAGTGAGTCATCAGGCTGGGCTGAGCTACTTTGTAACACACAATAGAAGGCCCTGCAGTGATGGTTGTTACAAGCAAGATGGGATTGAATTAAGCCCAGGAAATAAATGTTTCCCCCTTCTTTATAATGGAATAATTCTAATAGCAGTCACATAATGCTTCAACAGTTCCATGGCTTGAGCAAGTTTTGCTCCCAGTTCCAGCTTTGCGTGGGAGGTGAGGCAGAAGAGTTCTGACTTTCTCCAGCTGATCTCATCCTAGAGCCAGGAATAACCCTGTGTCCTGGTGGGATTCAATTTTGAGGATAAATGACACCTCAGAGCCCCTGTTTATTTGAAGACAAATATTTTATCAGAGAAATAAATGGGGGGGAAAACAGCAATTCTTTTTCAGCCTGTTCAGAATTGCAGCCTGATACTGCAGATACAAATCTCCATGTGCCTTAGAGTTGAAGAATTTGTTTGATTAATTTATTAAGGGTGTTTAAATGACCAAGACAATGTGACTTAAAAACACCTGGAGGTGTTGGAGAGCTCCTTGTCAGGTCACACACTGGGAAACCCAGAGCCCTCAGTGAGGGGAAGAGCCTCACTGAGCTGTTTTAGCTGTATTCATACCAGATTCAGCCATTCTAAAAAATGTGCTTTTAAATAAGATGCAGTGCTTTGAGAAGCACAGAATAAAAGTGTTGTGCTGCAGCCATTGGAAATGTGAATAATCTGTAAAATCACCCAGCCTGGGAAGCACACGTAGCTTTGAGAAATGCACTTTGCCCTCTCTTGCTTGTGTGCAGCTGCTTCAAAGGAGGTTTGGTGTTTGAGCAGCCAGGCAGCCCCAGTTTGTCAGCACAGCTCTGTTACTCACTGATTGTTTTCTGTGCCTTCAGGAGAACACGCTCCTTGCACGGACCATGCCCAGTGACCACGTTTGGACCAAAGGCCTGCATGCTGCAGAATCCCAAAACGATTATGTGAGTACCCTGCATCAGTGCCACTCTGCTCCTTCTGTGGCAAGGAAAACCACTTTGCATTTCCACTGACTCCACTTTGTTCACCCCCTTAATCAGAATTCACAGAATGCCCAGGTTGGGAGAGACCTTCAAGTCCACAGAGTCCAACCCAGCCCCAGCACCTCAACTACACCCTGGCACCCAGTGCCCCACCCAGGGATGGTGACTCCAGCACTTCCCCGGTTCCTGGGAATTCCCAAAATTCCCCCAAATTCACAGAATTCCCCCAAATTCTCAGAATCCCCAGCTTGGAAGAGACCTTAAAGATCATCAAGATTTACCCAGCCCCAACACCTCAACTAAACCCTGGCCCCCAGTGCCACATCCAGGCTTTGTTAAACACACCCAGGGATGGGGACTGCAGCACCTCCCTGGGCAGCCATTCCAGAACTTTATCACCTTTTTGTGAAAATCTTTATCACCTTTCTGTAAAAAACTTCTTCCTAATATCCAACCCATATTTCCCCTGGTGCAGCTTAAGGCTGTGTCCTCTGGTTCTGTCAGTTCCTGAGAAAGAGCCCAGCCCCAGCTGAGCAGAGCCACCTTTCAGAGAGTGTAGAGAGTGATGAGGGCACTCCTGAGTCTCCTTTTCTCCAGGCTAAGCACCCCCAGCTCCCTCAGCACTGTTTGTATTTTACCTGGCATTTAGAGGTTTTCGTGTTGCTTGCCATCAGCTTTCCCAAGTTGCCATGGTCTGCAGTGCATAGTTTGGTGTCTGAAAGGGCAACTCTCACATTTCCAACTCTGTTAAAAAAGGGGAGGAAGAGGAACTGTTCTGTGTGCTGTGAAATCTGAGGGAAGCCTTCTCCCTGCCTTGCTGATGATGTTTGAATTTGGACTTTGAATTTTTCTGTTTGGTCTCTGGTACTTTCAGTTAAAACAAGTTTCTTTTTAGCCTGTTGATAGATATGGAAATAAAGGTCTGCTTTCTGCTTAGTGGGCAAATAAACATTTTAATTTTGTAGGTTGGGTGGCGTAAAGTGTTGCTTTCTCTACAGGTGTTACATACTTAATAAATGGAGTCCTGACTTGGCCAGGTGAGGAATTTCTGGGTTTAACCAAGGCAGTGGTTCCTGGTTTTGGGGGGCCCTGGCACAGAGGAGCTGTGGCTGCCTCACTTGGAGGTGTCCAGGACCAGGCTGGACATGGTTTGGAGCCACCTGGGATGGTGGAAGGTGGGACTGGATGAGCTTTAAGGCCCTTTCAACCCAAACCATTGTGTGCTTTCTGCCCCTTTAAAAAAAACTTTTACTTAATTTTGCTCTTCCAGTTAACTGCAAGACATTGCAGTCAACATTTATTTGCCCAAATCTCTGCCTCTGTAGACTGTAACCTTCCTGGTGATATCCAACCCTTTCCTGGGAAAGTCCAACCCAGATCCCTCCCTTTGGCAACCCAGAGCTTCCTCATTCTCCCCTGGTGCTGTAAGGAGCCCTGGGGTGCTGCAGTGCCAGCCCAGGTTGTGTTTACCCACCTGACCCGGGCCATTGCTCCTCCCAGGGGCTGGCCACGACTGGGATATAAGGACAGGGACAGGATTGTGCCAGGGAAACCTTGGGCAGGCAGGGCTGGGAGCAGAGCTGCCCCCAGGCTGCTGAAGGCAAGGACTTGTTTGAAAAGCAAATTGGAAATTACTTCTGCTGCACGCGAGGTTTTGTGGGTTTTAAAAACAAGCAAAACCTTGTTGGTGTTTTTTTCTCCTCTGCTGTGGGTAATTTTGTTCAACTCTCCTCACTGGAGGGATTATTTTTAACAGAAAATCATAGTTTTTATGTGCAGGTTTAAGTTAGGGAAGGTTGGGTGTCTCTTTCAATACAACCAGCAGCTCTAGAACTGCAAATCTGCTTTTTGATGAGCAGAATGAATACTCAGTGAAGAAAGGATGAGGGACTTGTGCTCTTGAGAGAAAGGGAAATCAAATACCTGTTTATTTTTCTTGAAATGGGATTTTCTTTATGAAGCCTTGCCTCGAGGATCTGGAATACAAGTTTTACACAGGATTTTTTGTAAAGCCTCACAACTTTTTATTGGAACTGATGGAAATCTTCAGTAGAAGAAAAAAATATTTTTCAGGGAAAAATATATTCTTCTGAGGTTGCAGTTATTAATAAGTGATAAAAGCCTCAGCCTTTTATTTTATTTGGAGCTGTTGCTTTTGCCTGAGCCCTGGAAAGAAACATGAAGATATTAAAGCAAGTTATGAATAACTTTTCATTCAGTGGGAGTGCATGGACTTGGTGAGTACAGCTGAAACAGGCAGACTGGCTGTTTGAATGAAGTTGGTGCCAGCTCTGGCTTTGTTCAGTGCTGCAATCCCCACTTTTGTCAGCATTATTGATATTGGAGCCCTGCATTAGCCTGTAGTTTCTGCTGTGTTTGTAGCTCAAATGTGAGCACTGAAATGAAATGGATTTTAAATTTGCATTAAGCTGTTTGACTTAGAGTATTGGATGGGGGGAAAAATGATGCTGTGACTTTTTCAGATCCTCTAATTGACTGTTTCTCTTTGAGTCTGCACTAAACCAAGAGGAAGCAGTGGTGTCAGTCAGTTGAGGAACCTTTTCTGAGAGCTTTTGTGGTGCTTCTGTTCAGGTCCCTGCTGGCACAGGTCATTCACAGGGCAGCAGGGACCAGAATTGTTAATTCTGCTTGTAGGAAAGCACAGAAACATCCCTGCAGTGGGAATTATTGTCTTTCCTTCAGAAACATCACTGCAATGGGAATTATTGCTTTTCCCTGAAGAACATCATTGCAGTGGGAATTTTTGCCTTTCCCTGCCTGGTGTGTAGGGCTGTGTGTTCTCCATCCATGAATACATAAATTCACATCACTGCAATTGGAATTATTGCATTTCCTTCAGAAATATCACTGCAATTGGAATTAGTGCCTTTCCCTCAGGAACATCCCTGCAATTGGAATTATTGTTTTTCCCTGCCTGGGGTGCAGGGCTGTGTGTTCTCCATCCATGAATACATAAATTCACATCCCTGCAATTGGAATTATTGCCTTTCCCTGCCTGGTGTGCAGGGCTGTGTGTTCCCACACAGAAGGATGTATTTTTTCCAGGTCAGAAAGGTGTCAGACCCAAATGTGCTGATGTTTGGGGGTTTTTGTGTCCCCCAGGCACATTCAGGATCCAGCAAGCCAGCGGTTGACATGGAACAAACCTCCCAAGAGTGTCCTTGTGATCAAGAAGATCCGTGATGCCAGTCTGCTGCAGCCCTTCAAAGAGCTCTGTGTGTACCTCACCGAGGTGAGAAAATAGAAATTGCACCTCAGCTCTCTCCAGCTGCTGATTCTGGGCAGAATTTGTGCATCAAATCCTCATACCCACTGCCACGGGGTGTACTAAAATTTGTTGCAGAAGTTAAGATCAGTATGAAGCTTAAAACTAAAATTATTAAAGTAAAAACTTCCATTCTGTTTACATTCTGAATTACAGGAATGGGATATAAAAAGCTGAAAACTTTAAGCCTTGAGCAAACACAGCATTGTTGCTGTATCATGTAATGTATATTCCAAGCTTTAATTTATTAAATGTTCTGTGCATGCTGCAGAATCCTCATCAGGATCAGACCACACATTAAAAACACAGTAATGTAATATTTACACTACTGTAAATATTATTTATATGTCTTAAATTAATGGAGATCATGGAGAGAGTCAAGTGTGTTGTTGGGAGGTCCCTCACAAGCTTGTTTTCTCTCTTCAGGAGAACAATATGATAGTGTATGTAGAGAAAAAAGTGTTGGAAGACCCTGCTATAGCTAATGATGAGAATTTTGGACCAGTGAAGAAGAAATTTTGCACCTTTAGAGAAGGTATGGAAGTGATTTCTTGAAAGGACAGTTGGAGTGTAATTTTTTATTTGTCTTGGTGTTTTCTTAGTTGTTGGGTCAAATTTCTAAAACTTTTATGTATTTTGCAGACAGTTGTTACATTTTAATTGTGCTTTTTAATATATTTGTGAGGGAATGTTTGCATGCTCCAAATTGTAACTTTTCTTCCTAATCTTTGTTAGGAAATGAAGATTGTGGATACAATTTAATTCAAAACTTTTTATTCCAATGTTTCTCCTAGACTATGATGATATCTCCAATCAGATAGACTTCATCATATGCCTGGGAGGAGATGGGACCTTACTTTATGCTTCTTCACTTTTCCAGGTTGGTTCTTATGGGAAATAAACCCATAAACCTTTTCTTTTGGAAGTATTTAAAAGTGCTTTTCCCCCCTCTTTGTTGCTGAGTTCAGAATTTGTCTTTTGTTCTTCATTCCCTCTTTTTTACCTTTTGAAAAGAATGTGAAATGTGTTGTTTTTTATTTAGCACAGTTAAAGTTTCATCAATATTTACAGACAAATAGTTGAAGTATGGATTGCTTTGACTGAGTGGCTTTAAAACTCTTTTCTTTGTTGACAGGGTAGTGTACCTCCAGTCATGGCTTTTCATCTGGGATCCCTTGGATTTCTTACTCCATTTAATTTTGAGAATTTTCAGTCCCAAGTCACTCAGGTTATAGAAGGTAAATTTAAGGGGACAAGGTGTGGTGTTTGTTTGTTACTTTTTCTTAATTAACTCTTGTAGGTTGACCCTTAAGATCTGAAACTTGAGAAATCTATCTGAAATTGAGAGAAATCTTAAATTAGCAGAAATGTATCTTAAATTAACAAAGTTTTACATTGCATTGACACATCCAGTGCTGCTCTTTGTACTGCTCTGTAAAGAAAAAGGGCCAAGAAATGACTTTATGGAGTAAATAAGTGTAAGATAATGTAGAATTTATGTTAAATGGCAACTAAACATAGAAGTGCAGTGTTTAAATGCTGAGAAGTCAGGCAAATAAAATATTTGAGGAAATAAATTCTTTGTTTCTTCAAGATGAGGTTATTTGAGTTGCATCCAGAGTAGATCCTGAAAAGATGTCTAAAACTCTCACTAGAATGTTCTCTTTTAATACATATTTCTAATGCTTTAATTTTCCTTAATCTTTGCTTTTGTCTTTCTGAAGATCACATGAACCCAACAGTGTTTTCCCATTTTAATCATGTCTATATAAAATTTAAATTTAAATTTTCTTTTTACATAATAAGAAAAGTGGGAAGGGACTAGCTTGAAATTTGGCTTTGATTTTTGCTCATTGCTACTAAAAATCAGTTTTGAGCTTCAGCCAAGTGCAGCCAATTATGTTGTGAATGAAACTGGGGATGTTGAAAGCTCAGGAAAGGCTGGGTGGCATTTGATAGAGTGTGTTGGTCATGGCTGGGGTGATTTCCTGTGCCAGCATCTCCTTTTTGTGTGTTTTCCCTGTGTTTTCCCTGCAGGCAATGCTGCTCTGGTTCTCCGGAGCAGGCTCAAGGTGAAGGTGGTCAAGGAGCACAGGGAGAAAAGCACAGTGCAGAATGGCATCGAGGAGAATGGAGTCGTGGCTGCAAGCCTGGAGAAAGAAGTGGGCAAACAAATTATGCAATATCAGGTCAGAGGGCAGAACAAGCCAAAAGAACCAATATAATGTTTGTAATTTGTATTTGTTTCATTAAAGCTCTCCCCCAGCAGCGTGGGGCTGGGCCCTGCTGCTCCAGCTCCCAAAGTGCTCTGAGTGCTGAGGAGCTGCTGCACACTTTTCCTCTGTGCTGTCACAAGTGCTCATCTCACACTTTGCTGTAGAAATAATTTCACAGAATTGTTTAGGCTGGGAAATCTCTCCAAGCTTGAGTCCAACCTTCCTTCTATTTGAGAGCAAAGTAGTAGTTCTAAAGTCAGACACACCAGACATTTTTATAAATGAGAAGAAAAACCCTGCACGTTATTAGTGACCAGCTCCTGGAGATAATTCTTAAACTTCAAAACTTAATTCTTAAAATTAAGAATTAAATCTAATTTAATCTTCAAAACTGAATTCTTAAACTTCAGCTGGCACTCGATAGGACAGAAATGTAGAGAGACTTTAATTTGCAGGTACTAAATAAGCTTGAACTTTGAGGAGATCTGGAAAGCATGTTCAGTTTTTGACACTGATTTCACTGCCAAGGCAGCAGCAGCAGGCTGGAGTGATCTTTGGTGTCGTGGCAGGTCCTCAATGAAGTTGTGGTGGATCGTGGCCCTTCCTCCTACCTGTCCAACGTGGATGTGTTCCTGGATGGGCACCTGATAACCACAGTGCAAGGAGATGGTGAGTGCTGCTCTCTGCCCAGCTCAGCCTGCTGCCTTTCCCTGGAGCAATTTCTCTCCTGGAAACAGAGCTGCAGTTCACTGCTGACAGCAAACAGGAGTGTGCAAAGGATGGGTGTGTTCCCACACAGCGAAGCTTTAGGTGCTGAAAGATTTTGTTTATGGGCATGTGAGGGCAAGTAGATCTTTTTGGGGGTATTATATTTCAGGGTAAAGGTAAGAAATAGCTCAGAAAAGATTGTTTGCCCTCAGCAAATCCAAGCCAATCTCAACTCCTGAGCAACAGGAGTTAATCTTTAAAGCTCTTACCCTTAAAGAAAAAAAATGAAAGTCACTATTACAAAATCATGTAACCTGAGTTTGTGCAACTCCTGAGACCACGTGGCAGGGTCAGGGGGGAGTTTCTCTCTCTGTGTGTGCTGGGCTCCAGCTGAGCTGGGGAATCCAAGGGGAGAGGTTCCCTTTCCTACATGGGATGTGCTGGGGTCCCCCAGAGCAGTCCCTGGTTGTTAATGCTGATGTCCCTGTCCTGTTGCTGTCCCCAGGGGTGACAGTGGGATTTGTGGGTGTCCTCAAGAGCAGTCCCTGGCTCAGTGCTGCTGTCCCTGTCCTGTTGCTGTCCCCAGGGGTGGCAGTGGGGTTTCTTGGTGTCCCCCAGAGCAGTCCCTGGCTCAGTGCTGCTGTCCCTGTCCTGCTGCTGTCCCCAGGGGTGGCAGTGGGGTTTGTGGGTGTCCCCCAGAGCAGTCCCTGGCTTCGTGCTGTGCTGTTGTGTCCCCAGGGGTGGCAGTGGGGTTTGTTGCTGTCCCCCAGAGCAATCTATGGCTTTTAGAGCTGCTGTCCCTTGCTGTTGTTCCCCAGGGGTGGCAGTGGGGTTGTTGCTGTCCCCCAGAGCAGTCCCTGGCTCAGTGCTGCTGTCCCTGTCCTGTTGCTGTCCCCAGGGGTGACAGTGGGATTTGTGGGTGTCCTCAAGAGCAGCCCCTGGCTCAGTGCTGCTGTCCCTTGCTGTTGTTCCCCAGGGGTGGCCGTGGGGTTGTTGCTGTCCCCCAGAGCAGCCCCTGGCTCAGTGCTGCTGTCCCTTGCTGTTGTTCCCCAGGGGTGATCGTGTCCACGCCGACCGGCAGCACCGCGTACGCCGCCGCGGCCGGAGCGTCCATGATCCACCCCAACGTCCCTGCCATCATGATCACCCCCATCTGCCCCCACTCCCTGTCCTTCAGACCCATCGTGGTTCCTGCTGGAGTGGAGCTCAAGGTGGGGTTCTGTCGTTTTATTTCTCTTTGTGGGTTAAAAACTTCTGGAGTGGCCACAGGAATGAGAGGAGGGTGGGAAGTGTTGGGTGGCTCCTGTCCCCTGGGGCAGGATCACACCAAGTCTGGCTCAACAATGTGCCTTTCTTTAGAAAAATTTGCCCACTTAAATTGATTAAAGTGGAATACTTTGCACTTTTCTTACTGAACCGTAGCTCTGTAACATTCTACAAAATGGGAATTCCTACATTTGCTTTCTGAAAAATGTTCCATAATCTCGGCTAAAGTGCCTGTAAATGATCAGTGAAGGGAATCAAAAATTCTCCTTTCATGCAGAAATATTTCAGATCTTATGTATATACTGGTAGCTCTATCTGCAATTCAATATTTAGTTTTTTTTAATGTTGCCTTGCAGAAAATAGACATTTAATAGCTGAATATAAGATAGACTTGATTAATGGGTATTTTGGACAAATACTCTTGTGCAAGGAAGTATCTCTTTCTCCTTTTGTCCTGGGGATGTTAGAGGATTAGCATTGAGAAATGAGTGTGTTCTGGACTTTTCGTTCTTGTTTTACAACATAAATTCCATGTTTATTCATGGCACAGCTCTCAGCCCACACTTTCATGTCAGTGGGTGTTACTGGCCAGGGGTAGTTAATTCTTCTAATAGGAATGTAATTTAAATAGGAGCCAAAGTTCCTAAATTTGACAGCTTTGGATTCATTATGTATTAAAATCTGTTTTTCTGGATTGACTTCATTATTTTTCCTGAAAGAAAAGCTAAGTCAGCTCCTGTAGCTGAATTAAAGTTACGGGAACTGAACTGGAAGGTCTTGTACTTATAAAAGGGGATTTACTGCATATAGAAAAAGATGTTTATAAAGAGAAAATAAAGATTTGGAGCTTGGGTGGTGTTACTGCACTGCTGCCATGGACAGCTGAGCAATTGCAGTGCAAGTGTGGAGTTCCAAGGACTCGGTTGTGCACTCGAGGGAGGATGGAGGAGGTGTTTGTTCCTTGCTCTTGAGTTTTGGACCATTCTGGTTTTCAGATCATGCTCTCCCCAGATGCCAGGAACACGGCGTGGGTTTCGTTTGATGGAAGGAAGAGGCAGGAGATATGCCATGGAGACAGGTCAATCCTTTTTTCTGATTGTATTATCTCTAAGTATAGAAAATCCTGATTCATGCAGCTCCCTCATTCTCTAACATCTGCCAAAAGGGTTTTTGGCAGTGAAGAAAGAGGCTTTTATAAACCCTAACACCTCCTAGAGCACAGACTGCACTAAAAGGATTTCATTTCTAACTTGAGTTCTTTAGATCTTCCCACCAAAGCAAGTGAAATGTTCAGACTCTGTAAACATTGCATGCTTGGCAAGGAAGATGGGCATATCTTTAGGAAACTCTGTAAATTTTAACTTCAAGATAAATCTTAGGAATTCTGAAAGATACAAACCAACAGGGGCTGCCTGTGGAATACTCCACGTGGATTAAACTGGGTTAACTGGGAGTGCTTGTGGTCACTTGCTCTGGCCTTGAGTGAGCAGAAGAGAGTGAAGTCCCTCAGTTCTGTGTTCAGAATGTGGTGGTGGAGGTGTTCAAAGGCAGCTCTGGGGAGGAGATTGGCAGATTTGTTCTTCAGGATGCCCTTCTTCCTCTTGGCCCACACAAGTTGCCATGAAGGAAAATGTACAGGTGCAACCCTCCATCCTGAACAGGTTTTATTTCCTCTGGGCTTGGGTCATCCATAAAGGAGTTCAGGAAATCAGTAAAGATTCAGGAAATCAGTAAAGATTGGCCCTTGGTTACACCCTGGAATCCTTGGGCTTATTGCTTAAAATCTGAAACTGAAAGGTGCCCAGTAAAGACTCAAACACAAGGTTTGACCCTTGGCTACACTCTGGAATCCTTGGGCTTATCACTTAAAACTTGAAACTGAAAGGTGCCCAGTAGATTCAAATGCAGGGTTTGTCCTTGGTTACACTCTGGAATCCTTGGGCTTATCACTTAAAACTTGAAACCCAAAGGCCAGGGTGGTGCCTTGGGTTTCCTTTGCCCTGTGTGGCTGATGCCAGAGGCTGCAGGATGCCATGGAGGGTTCCCAGCCGTGTCACAGAAATGTCCCCAGAGCTCTGCTGGCCAAGGTGGTGCCTTGGGCTTCCTTTGCCCTGTGTGGCTGATGCCAGAGGCTGCAGGATGCCATGGAGGGTTCCCAGCCGTGTCACAGAAATGTCCCCAGAGCTCTGCTGGCCAAGGTGGTGCCTTGGGCTTCCTTTGCCCTGTGTGGCTGATGCCAGAGGCTGCAGGATGCCATGGAGGGTTCCCAGCTGTGTCACACAAAGTGTCCCCAGAGCTCCGCTGGTTATTTCGAGAGCAGCTGTAGTTCTGGTCCCTGGGCATGGAAAGCTGTTGTGTGGCAGTGAATCAGCTCAGTGCTGGGTGGGACAGGCTGGGGGTTGCTCAGATTGTTGCTGCCCCTGCCTGACTTGCCCTGTGCTGTTGCAGTATCAGCATCACTACCTCTTGTTACCCCCTCCCCTCCATCTGCTTCCGGGACCCCGTGAGCGACTGGTTCGAGAGCCTGGCCGAGTGCCTGCACTGGAACGTCCGCAAGAAGCAGAACAACTTTGCCGTGGAGGAGGAAGAATTCTGAGTGTCCACAGCCAGCAGGGCTCGTGGCAGTGGAATGTGGCAGAATCCCTCCCCTCTGCTGGGATTTGGAGCAGTGGAACGTGGCAGAATCCCTCCCCTCCACTTGGATCTTGGAGCTGTCGGTGCAGGCGCCGCCCCGGAGCTGCCTTGAGGTTGTGTTGATATCCCTGAGGTGCTGGGGCTGGGAAGGGTTGAGCTCCTTCCTGGCCATCAGGAGTGGGAGTGGAAGGCTCTGATGGTTCTGATCCAGTGGGAATTTCCTTCCAAACGAGCAGTCTGAGAGTGGATCATTCCTGACTGCTGTCCAAAACCACATCTGCAGATTTGATTGTAACCTCTGACTTACCAGTTCCATGGTAGGCTGAATGTAGCTACACCAGGGAAAAGTGGCAGCAGAAAAGTGGCATTAAAATCTTTTATTTGATAGGTTTGTAACTCCATTTAACACTGCTAGGAACAGAAAGGCTCTGAGAAGTTTTCTTATTTTAAAAACAAAGCTCCTCTTTGTTATCTTAAATACACCTTGCCCAGAAAATACTTTCTTACTTGCAAGTGTGACACACTGAAGAAACATCCACAAAGGATGTTTTTTATTAATAGATGGAATTAGTAATTAAAAGTATATATTTTTTATATATACATTTTTTTCTCTTGTGCCCATTTGAGCAGTGGTTGACCCTTGGCTGTCAGCACTGTGGAAATACCCACAAACAGCAGGGATGAACATTAATTATTCTGGGTTTGTAGCTGAGCTAATTCACAGCTCTGCACTTCCTCTTGGTGGGAATCATCCATGTGTTGGTTTTTCTTATTATTTTTGTTTGATTCCCTGGGATAAATGGTAGCATTAGAGACTATCATGTTTAAAAAATAATAATAATTCTCCAAGTGTTCAAGAAGAATCTGGACTTCAATTGCTACTGAATTCACTGTTGTCCTGAAGAAAATATCCTTTTCTAAGATCCTGAATGCCCTCAACTTCCATGAAACCTTCCAACTCTTGGTGCTGAGTAATCCAGGGTGGGATTCTGCAGTGGTGGGCTGGAGAAATGAGAGGACACATTCCCAGTGGAGTAGCAACGGTGCCTTCAGCACACTCAAGATATTCTAAGTCTCACATTTACTTTTTTTAAGATGCTTTCAAATGTTTCTAACTTCTCTCTGTACATATTTTATTGTATGTGCTTTTATGAAAGAACAAACAAAAAACCCAACAAAAGAACTGGTTGGGATGGGGGGAAAGGGTTTGTACTGTACTTTACCTGCAAAACAGCAAACCCAAGGATAATGTTTACATTTATGTTCTCTGTGGTGCAGTCTCTTCATCTTACCCAAACTTCAGCATTTTCAAGTCTTGCTGCATCGCTCACTGAGGGAGGGAGGGACAGGAGCTGCTCAGTCCTGTGGCAGAACCTGGCAAGGAATGGATTCCTGGCTGAGGAGGGATTTCCTTGGAATGGGGGCAGAACCTGGCCAAGGAATGGATTCCTGGCTGAGGAGGGATTTCCTTGGGAACAGGGGCAGGATCTCTGCAAGGAATGATTCCTGGCTGAGGAGGGATTTCCTTGGGAACAGGATCTCTACAAGGAATGATTCCTGGCTGAGGAGGGATTTCCTTGGGAACAGGGGCAGGATCTCTGCTGAACCCTTTCCATGATTGTCTTACGTTGTGTCTGTGGTCCAAAGTGGAAATGGGAATGGCTTCATTTCCAAACTCTGCCTGACCTGTTGTCCTCTGGTGGTTTCAATAATGTCTCATCCCTTTTGGATGCTGCCCTGGGCTGAGCTCCTCAAGTGCAGGTGAGAGCATTTTCCAGAAAAGAGAAGCAAACTCTTGGGTGAAGATTCAGATCACAACGAAAGCGTGTTGGGATAAATGAACACTTGGCCTGTACATTTTGTTACATAGAATATTGGTTTGATTGGGTCAAAACCAGATGGATTTTGGGATATCTTGGAGAATCTCCAGAGAGCTTTTGGGATTTCTCTTTCACTTGAATCTGCAGTAATTGTTTTATCACTGTTTTGAAGCTGCTTACGGGTTTCCTAAGCGGAGTATTCAGTTATTTCCTAACTGGTTACTTTTGGAACTAGAGAAGTGTCAGGCTTTTTTGCTTTGGAACTCTTTTGTTTAAACATGCAATAATTGAGAGAAGGAACAGGGTATGGTGTCTAGAGAAACGTGTGGATGAGTGGAGAGTGAGCAGTTCTAGGCACACTGGGGAGTGGAAGATCATTTTGCAGAGGTGAAATGATTGATGAGCCTTATCTAGTATTTTTTTAAAGATAAAACTATATTCAGCACTTTTTATTTATGCTTTTTATAATAGTAAAGCTATTCTTAAAGCTAAATTGCCGAACTTTTAATTTTCAGAGTGCACAGGCAATTAAATCTGTAATCAAAGTGTACTGAACTACTTTAGATCTACATTAGGGGTTGGCTTGAAATTTCTTCTTTCAATTTATCACCTGCTGCAATTGCATTGCTGCCTCTGAGGCTGCTGCAGCTTTGCTTGTGCATAGTTGTGCTGAGAAAAGGCATTTTCTGGGTGGCTGCTGAGCAACTTCAGCCCTGGCTTTTCCTCCAAAAGCTGCCTTGATTCTCCCTGGCCCAGCCTGGGCTGTGGTAAAGTTTTTAATCTGCAAACTGCAGGGCAGGGAGGCTGCAGCAGCCCTGGAGTTCTGCACTGAGCTGCTCCAGGAGTGGGGGAGCTGAAGCAGAAAAAAGCTGAAATGCACCTCACTTTATTGGCAATAAAACCTCGTTTTGCTAATGTAGCTTATTCTGAATAACTTGGTTAAACTGTGCTAAAAATGGGGGTTTGCTGATTAAGAGTTTGTAATAAAAGGGTTTGTAAGTCACTGGCACTTACAAATCCTTTCATCTACAAAGGGCCAAAATGGAAGCTGGGAAATTAATTTGGTTTTTTTTAAGAAAAAAAAAGAAGTTATCCTCTGGTAGAAATGGAAGAAGTTGTTACCAACTGTAGTAGGGAATAAAGCAGTGTACTGAATTTTTAAAAGCTAAAAAATCCTGTTACATATTGTTAACACATTGAAAACTTGGTTTTAAATATTGTTGAGAAATAAAATATTTTTCAATCCTTTCAATAAAACTTTTTTGTAAAGTTGGATTGGTTCATTTGCCCTTTGACTGGGGAGAATATAAAACAGTGAATTCCCAATCAGTTGCTCGGAATTTTGGGGGGTTTGACACTTCTCATGGGGCAGTGGCATCTCTTTTCTGGGAACACACCCAAGGCTTTTTTTGAGTGTTTGATATCAGATTTTCCTCAAAAGTTTCAAATAATTGCTGCATTTGCTGTGCAGCTTGAAACAAATCTTGTGTAGAAGCAGCTGGGCTGCATTAAATAATGTTTGAAAGGCCCAGTGATAGAAATATGAAGAAGAATAGGTAAGGGTCAATTAATACAGGGGTCAAAGAGATAAGGGTCAGATAAGCTGGCTGAATTATCTGAAAATTTATATCCAGGAAGTTCAGATTCAAAGTGGGGTGTAAATGCCTGTGGCACACTTGCACATGAGGTTTGACTGCCCCAGGTGCTTCTTCACTTCTGGTGCAGCTCTGGACACTTCTCCATGGAACCTGAGATTCATGATGGTGCTCAAGAGTCTCTGATTTCATAATTAATCTGTAACTCGTCCCAGCAGCTGCCAGGGGTGTGAGGAGGTGCCTTTTGCAGGTAAAGGAGCTGATTTTAAGTGAAGTTTTTGTTTTACAAGACACCTTGGAAAGGGTTTTCCATCTTTCCATGCCTGGCTGGTGCCGAACTCTGCTGGCCAGAGCAGTGACAGTGACAGTGACACTGTGACCTGGCCACAAAACATTTCCTTCCCTCCTCCTGCCCCAGCCCAGGCCCTGTGTGAGGGCAGAGCCTTGCCCTGGCTGAGGGAAGGACTGAAAAGGTTTTGTTGGGGTGTTTGAATGTTTCATTCTTCCAGCAGCAATCCCTGCTCCACTCCTGTGGGATGAGGTCACAGAGGCTGCTCTGGCAGCCCCTGCACACATTAACCCCTTCATGCCTCCCTGGGGCTACAGATAAAGTGGGTTTGAGTCAGGTTTAGGAGATCAAGATGAAAAAAAATTCCTATTTGTAACAGATATTCTGATGTCTAGGATGAGGGAAAAAAATTACAGCACTTTTAATCCAATCCCTGTAAATCTCCCTACTAAGCTGTAATAATTTTTTAATTTTAATTGCTTCTTGCAGTGTCCAGCTGCCTGCAAATAAAGCTGTGTCTGAAGGGAAGTGTCATGGCAATGTCCACAGCACTCATGAATTCCAGTCCCAACCTTTTCCCTGTTCAGTTTTGTAAGGGATTTCCCACTGAATTGGTGCTGTTCCACGTGAAATAATTATCCATACACAAACTGTGCTTATACTTTATTAAAAAATAGCCAGTAGTTAAAGGTTCCAGTCAATAAAATACCAAACTTTGAAATGACAATATTAAAGGCTTAATTGTAACAGTCCCCCGGTGTGAAATGGCACCTTGGCTACACTGAGGGAGGGCTGAGGTTACAGGGAGTATTTTTGATGTGTAGCTGGGGTTAAAAAATAATGGAAATATGGAAGCCAGAGGAGGAAAAGGAGCCTTGGACAGGGACACCACTGTCACCAACCCATCAGGGTTGCTCTGCAGCAGATCCAAGCTGGGAGCTGAGGGCAGCACAATCCCCTTCCAGACAGGAGCAGAGGCTGGGTGTGCACATTTCCTTCATGAGTTTGTGTCTGTGCAGGCAAAAAGCTTTGAAAGGAGCAACATTCCCCACTCCCATGCAGGTGTGACCCCCTGTGCTTCCAAAGCAGCAGGAAAAGGGCTGGAAGGTGCTTGGTCCTGTCAGCAGGATCAGCTGGGAATTTCCCAACATTCTGCTTTTCAAGCTCTGTCCCACCTGCACATTTGTGCCACCTTCCTGACCCTCCTCCATCCTGAAGTGACCTTGGATTGCCACCCTGGGTGCAGGTCCCTGCTCAGGAGTGCTGGGGTGGCTCAGGAGTCGATCCTTCCATAGGAGGAAAACACTGCAAGAGAGGGAGGGAGCTCAGTCAGCCACACTGCAGCTGTGGGTTGTGTCACACCACTGTCCCTTCCCTGTCTGTTTTACAGTGTGATAGAAATATTGCAAGCAGAGATTTGCTCACACAGGTGTGGTTTTGGTGTGGTTTTTTTGGACAGGAGCAGTTCTTGCTCAGGTTGGCATCAGCTTTCCCCGGGGAAAAGCCACATCTCCCACCCAGCTCCTGAGCTTTAGCTGGCAATTCTGAGGCTGCAGAGCTGCTTGGTTGGGGATCTGCCTTTTCCTTTGATTATCCCTAAGGATTTTCCCTGTGCCTGGGACAGGCTCCACCCTCCCCAGTGAGATTTTGGGGTACTTACTTCTCTCCCTGAGCCCCTGCCCGAAGCTGCGGTAGACGTGCACCAGAGCCCAGAACAGAACAGATTTTATTGTGACAGAAATGCAGGAGCCAGTGATGAAAGCAGCTTCCAGGGTGTAAGAATTGCCTTTGCCCCACTCCCTTATCACCTGCAGGAAAGGGGAGACACGAAACCATCACCCACAGCATGCAATCAAGCACTGCATTTCTGAGAGGAGTCACCAGGTGGGAACTGGGGGGAAAGAAAAAAGAAAAACCCAACGGGTCACTTTGAAACATCTCAGTTTTCTGATTTCATGATGCACAGAGTGTGGAGTCCTGCTGTGCTCAAACAGGCCTGGAGCAATGGGGAGCTGCATTTGCTGAATGGATCCCTGAGGCTGGGGGTGCCTGCAGCCCCTGGGTGGTGTTGCTGTCTGGAGCTGTGGGTGGGAGGGATGAGAAGCACTCTCAGCATTCCAGCCCTGCCCAGCTTCAACAGGCTGCCTTCCCCTTGTCCTCCTCTCACACATCTTGTGGGAGGTGCTCACTGATAAAGGTTTTATCAGTGTTACAGAGCCAAAAAACTGCCCCAAACTGGAGTTTGTTGGGCTCGCACTGCCTTGTTTTGGCTACAACAGGATCCACAGCTGTGGGTGCTGCCTAAGAAATTCTTTAAATTACAACTACTGAGCCCTGGTCAAATGCTCTGGCACCACTTGAGGCTTGGGTGAAGGAGGGGAGGCATTTCTGATGTATCTTGAAAAAGATTTTGTTTCATCTCTCCCTCCTCACTCTTTGCAGGGACTTCCAGAGCCTCTCCCTCTGGTCAGTTCAAGAGCAGCTTGACTTTGTCCCTGTCCTGAGAAGTTGACCCTGCAGAGGCAGGATGTGCTCTGCTCTTTAAATCCAGCAGGAGCTGCAGGGAAGGGTAAAGCAACACCTGAGGAGGGTGAGGGTGAGACCCCAGCCCTGCTGCCCTTACCGTGTAGAGCAGGTAGATGAGATAAACCACCTCAGGCACATTCTGAACCAGGAAAAGCCACACCAGAGGTTTCAGCTCTTTTAAAATCTGCAAAAGAAGATGAGATACAGCTCTTTAAAGGTGCTATATCTTCTAAAAAGGCTACATAGAGCTGATTTTTCAGAGTATTCCAAGTGTTGGCTAAGCTGAGTTCTCAGTTTTAGCTTTGCTCTCCACTTCCCCTCTCCAGCTGTTTTTTAGCAGGAAATTCAGGCTCTGTTTCCCCTGAGCTGGGCCAGCAGTGATGATGACCTTTCTCCCTGGGCACACTCAGATTTTCTCTAGCAGCTGAATGTTTTCTTAGGTAACTGAAAGCTCCCTGTGGCTTCTTCTCCACCTTTCTTTTACTGCCCAGAAGAGCAGTCACTGAGGAGTGAAACGTGGGAGAAGCAAGAGGATTGAAGTGCCAGGAGAATTTCATTTCACAATTCCCCCAGGGGCTTGGGAAAGCAGAAAGGGACTGCAGCAGCCCTGGGCTGGGAGGGCAGGTCTGAGCAAAGGAAGGAAAAGCTGAGCCACTGGGGGAGAGAGCAGTGACTGTGCCAGTGGTAGGGTTGGATTTGATGCATCTGATCAGCACCACGTTCCCCCCAAACCCAAAACTGATCTGTTTGAAAAGCACAATTTCAGCAAGAAAGCCATCAAAACACACAGGGAGCTGTATTTCAGCTGTCAGAAATTTGTGTGAATGACTAAAGCAAACACTCCAGGAGCCTAAACCAACATCCACCCCCAAAAACCCCTCAACTCCTTCCTGGTAATAAAAAACTCACTTATCTGATGTACTTTGGCCCTGATTCTGCAATCATTCTTGGAACAGAGGCTCAAGATTTCAGAGGAGGTTCTTTCAGTCTGACATGAAAAATGCCCTTTCAAGTTCACAAATCTTTAGGTTAATCTGTCCCTGGGCTTTGAAGGAGATGCCCCAACAAAGCACCTTTATATTTTTGGTGTGGTTTCACAAGGATTTAAGGCCTGGAGAACTGCTCCCAGTTCACCCAGCCCTGGCAGAGAGGCAGAAATATTGAAGACAGTTTGATCCTCCAGATTTCATTAAAGTGATCAAGAACTGAGACTAAAACAAGATCCCTGAGTGCCACAATGACAAGGTGACTTTGTTGCACTCCGTGTGCTCAGCTCAGACACAGATTTGGACAAAACCTGGCTTCAATATTGTTGCTGCTCTGCTTTCCTCCATGCTGGCTCCCTTCCCTGAGGCTGTGGGGGTGGGCAGGGCAGTGCCAGGGGCTGTGTGCCCTGCTGGTGGCCCCTGCAGCTGCACACTCACTGCAATGATGCCCACGGTGACCTTGAGGCAGCCCCAGATGACTCCCGTGGCTGAGATGATGTTGTGCAGCAGCGTGACCTCGTGCAGGCTGATCAGGAGGATGCACAGGCTCAGCTGGGGGAGGCAAACGTTGCATGAAATCATTCCTGGAGATCCCAAAAAATATCAGCCCCACCAAAAAATGTCTGCCACAAACTCCCTGCAACAGCAGCTTGGGTGTAAAAGCTGAATTATTCCTCAAGGAAGGACAGAGGTGCTTCCCTGTGTGAAGCAACCAGGGAGAGCAGACAGAGCAAAGAAAAGCAGCAGTAAATAAGGATGAGGGTGCTCACAGAAGCAACAGGTCTTGGGCTCACTTCCCCCAGCTGCAATTTCATTTTCTGCCTCACTGCCCTGCTGGTCGAGTTCCCCTCTCCCACTCCAGAACCATTTCCTCAGTGCAGGAGAGTGGAGGCTGAGAGGGGCAGGAATAGCCTTGCTTATTCCAGGAGGCCATGGTGGGGTGGAGCTCCTGGATGCAATTGTTTTTATGGATAAACTTCCCAAAAAATAAGCTTCAGTTCTCCTTTTGGGCAGGACAGCAATGAAATATATTTGGATGGACTTTAATGAAGCTATAACAAACACATGGAGCTACTACAATTATTAAGTTAATATAAAAAATATAAATAATATAAAAAAGATAAAAGAGAGGATTGCTCTTGGAAAGGAATAATTCAACTCAGCCAGTCCAAGATATGATCAGGAAGAGGGGAAAAAAGAAAAAATCTCTGTACCTGTGCCTGCAGATCAAAAGTGAGCATGGAAAAGCAGAGGTTGAGCATGAAGTACTGGGCCTGGAGGCTCTCCAGGGCTCCCCCCACCCGGAATGCCATCATGGACTGGCTCTGGAGGAGGATCAGGGCACAGACCACATCGAAGGAGCCCACCAGCAGGATCAGCACAAAGCGGGCCTGGGGAGGACAAACGGACAGCACTGGACAGGCTGCACCAGGCTGGCACCTGGAGCCCAGCTGGACACACACAGCCACAGCAGAACCTTCACAGAGGCTGGTTCTGAGCTCCTCTGGAACAAAACCTTCCCTCTGGGGACAGGGGAAATGCTGGGCTTGTAGAATTATCAATGCTGGAATTGATGGAATTCTTGTAGAATTCCAAGGAGCACAGGTTTGTGTCTCTTTGTATCCACTCTGCTGGAATTAACACTCAATTTTTCCTGCTTTAAGGATGGCTCAAGTGGCAAAACATCCTTCAGAGTTACAATGATATGAAAATATTTATTATTCTGGCTCAGGAAGCAGAGTTACAGTAATCCAAGTTACAGTTAGAGCAGTAAAAAAACCCCTTAAAATTACTTTTCACATTTATAGCAGGCTTTACTTTGAAGTTCTTGTTTAATATTTAAACTGATGGCTTGGCTGTGCATCTTAAAAGTAACCTGATTTCCTTGATGCCTTTTCCTGATTGGCCCCACCAAGGCAGCCTGCTGCAGGTGAGGGGTGTTTGACTGATAAATAAACTGAGTTAACTGATAATAAACTGAGTTAACTGATAAATAAACTGAATTGGCAGAGCTGCTCTGCTCCCTCTGCCTTGCCTGGCTGCCACCTCTCCTGCTCAAGAGCAATTTTTGGATGACTTTACAGCTTTTTGAGATATAGGTGATAAAAAGAAAGCTCTTCCTGGAAGCACAGCAAGTGGGAATTTAACTACAAACCTTAGTAAGGCAAAGAATAAAATCCTTTTAAAAATTTACTGCTATGAAATGCAAACAAGAAAAGCTGGAGGGGCATCGCTGCATCTTTTGTTTGCTTGCAGGCTCCCATAAATCTCATAAATCTCATTTAGGAGCTCTGGAAATGGCTGTGCCACAGACTGGGGGCTCCTCTATAAATCCTGGCAGGGATTTAAGTGACTCCAGGCAGATGTTCCACAGGGAAAGGATAAATTCTACAGGAATTTTGTGCAATTCTCTGAAATTTCTGTTATTTGTGGGTGCTGCCACAAGGAAACTCAGAGACCAGCTCAGGGAAGATTTGCAGTTGTGGGTGTGCATGTTTTGTTGTGCACTAGGGAGAACTCAGCCTGATTCTCTGCTATCAGGAACAAAAATACAGCAAGATCTAAGAAAGACAAAAATACAAAAATAAATACCAAAAAATACCCCAACAAACAAACAAAAAATATTTTGTATTTAAAAAATTAAATACAAAAAATTACAAATAAATACAAAACCACATGAATATATATTTCTGTATATTATATATGAGATATAATATAGATATAAATAATACATAAAAAATAATAATGTATAACAAATAAAATCCTAGAAATGCCATATATATAAATATAATAGAAAATAATATACCATGTCTATAATAAAATATATATATAAAAAATATATTGTATTATAATAATATAACATTATATCTCTCAGATCATGTATGAATATAATGCATAGATATGATAAAGATCATAATTATATTCAAAACTGTATATATAGTATATATAATAGTATATACAATAAAATAATATATAGTAATGTGTATTAATAATTACTATAGAATAATTATTTTATTTAGAAATTATTTATATATTTTATATATATACATGTATGTATTTATTTATTTAAATTATAAATAAATATATAAATATATATAAAATATAAATAAATGTATATATTTATTTACATTTTATATAAATATTTATGTATTTAAAAGATATATTTATATATTTTATATATAAATATTAATATATATAAATATGTTAAGATATTTTATAGATAAATATGTACATAAATATATATACAGAATATAAATATATAAAAATATAAACATATATAAAATATAAAAATACAAATATATATAAATATAAAAATAAAAATATAAATCTAGAAAAAATATGTAAAGATATAAACATACACATATAAATATACATATATATACATATATATATATTTAAAAAAATATATCAAAAATTTAAAAAATATATAAAATCTAATCTGTGTTAGCACAGCCACGCTGCCCTCCCAAGGCTGCATTTTCAGGCCAGGCAGTGGGGAGGCAAGGCTGGGGAGGAGCAGCACTGACCAGGAGGAGCAGCACTGACCAGGAGCAGCAGCACTGACCAGGAGCTGGGGAAGGCAAGGCTAGGCTGGGGAGCAGCACTGACCAGGAGCTGGGGAAGGCCAGGCTGGGGAGCAGCAGGAAGGCAAGGCTGGGGAGCAGCACTGACCAGGAGCTGGGGAAGGCCAGGCTGGGGAGCAGCACTGACCAGGAGCTGGGGAAGGCCAGGCTGGGGAGCAGCACTGACCAGGAGCTGGGGAAGGCCAGGCTGAGCAGGAGCAGGAAGGCAAGGCTGGGGAGCAGCAATGACCAGGAGCTGGGGAAGGCAAGGCTGAGCAGGAGCAGGAAGGCAAGGCTGGGGAGCAGCACTGACCAGGAGCTGGGGAAGGCCAGGCTGAGCAGGAGCAGGAAGGCAAGGCTGGGGAGCAGCAATGACCAGGAGCTGGGGAAGGCAAGGCTGAGCAGGAGCAGGAAGGCAAGGCTGGGGAGCAGCACTGACCAGGAGCTGGGGAAGGCCAGGCTGGGGAGCAGCAGGAAGGCAAGGCTGAGGAGCAGCACTGACCAGGAGCTGGGGCTGCTGGCCTGCAGGGAGCAGGCTGAAGTTGACGGCGGAGCGCAGCATCAGCAGCAGCACGGAGAGCACGAACACCACGAGCTCCTGGCGGTTCTCCTGCAGGATGCCCCGGCTCACGTAGTACACACAGAACACTGCGGGGACAGGGGGGGCAGTGCCACTCAGGGGGACAGGACTCCCAGTTCTGCAGCCACAGGGACACGGCAGGGCGTCCCCGAGGCTCCGAGCCCTGGCTCTCACCAGGGGGCTTGGATCAGCTGGGTAAAACACTGCCTGCTGTGTTCAGCACACAGGAAGTTAAATAATTAGCTAGATTTTTAAATGATTTGTGAACATTTTTCAATGAAATGTGAAAATGTTTAAATGATTTGTGAAATTATCACTGTGAAAATGGCAGTGAATTATCCAAACTGGCATTATTACTATAGTATTATTATTTTCACTGTTTTCGTTATTATTTTATTATTATTTTTATTCTTTTCATTCTTTCCTCCACCCAAACCGTGTTTCCTACCAGCTCCCAGCAGCTGGATGAAGGAAATGGTGAAGTCCTGCTCAGCCTGGCGCAGCAGCGTCTCGATGGTCAGCCCAATGACACTCAGCAGGGACAGGACAGTGACACAGAAGTAGATCTTCACGGGGAACGAGAGCTCTGAGCATGGCTTTATCTGTAAAGGGAGAACATTCTTTAGCACACCACACAGAATAAATTTGTTGTTGTTCCTAAAAATCACATTGAGGCCAGTAATGAGACAGGGCAGGGTTTCCTTTGGGAAAAGAGAAACGTCACTATTGGACTGAAACTCCCAAACTGCTGAGGAAGGGAGAGGTTTGGCTTTATTTAATAATTAATCTCACCTAGACAGTCCTGGTTTATACCCACAGCCTGTCTTTGTGCCCCACAAGGCCATGGTGTTATAACCCACCACAGGGACACTGCCCACAGAGCATGCAAATAACACTTTCCCATTTAACGTATTAACATTTAATAACGTTTTAGAAAACGGTAAAGACAGGGTCAGCTTTCTCAGGAAGGCAAATCCTTCTCTTCTTTTATTAAAATACTTCAGGTGGAGCAGGATCGTGGCAGGAATGTCACACTTGGTGTGTTCAGCTGGAAGAGACTGAGGGGGACCCCAGGGGCTGCAGGGACAGCTCTGCTCCCTGCTCCGGGACAGGGACACACCCAGGGAACCCCTGGAGCTGGGCCAGGGGGTCGGGCTGGATTTTGGGAAAGGTTCATCCCCCAGAGGGTGCTGGGCACTGCCCAGGCTGCCCAGGAACGGGCACGGCCCCGAGGCTGCCAGAGCTCCAGGGGCTGCCAGGGGTGCCCAGGGTGGGATTTTGGGGTGTCCCTGACAGAGCCAGGAGCTGATCAATGATCCTGAGAGTCCCAGGAGTTGCCAGGGGTAGCCAGGGTGGGATTTTGGGGTGTGTGTGCAGGACCTGGAGCTGATCAATGATCCTGAGGGTCCCAGGATGGGATTTTGGGGTGTGTGTGAGCAGGACCTGGAGCTGATCAATGACCCTGAGGGTCCCAGGAGCTCCAGGGGCTGCCAGGGGTGCCCAGGGTGGGATTTTGGGGTGTGTGTGCAGAGCCAAGAGTTGATCCATGACCCTGAGGGTCCCAGGATGGGATTTTGGGGTGTGTGAGCAGAGTCAGGAGCTGATCAATGATCCTGAGGATCCCAGGAGCTGTCAGGGATGCTCCAGGTGGGATTTTGGGGTGTGTGAGGAGAGCCAGGAGCTGATCAATGATCCTGAGGGTCCCAGGAGCTCTCAGGGGTGCCCAGGACAGGATTTTGGGGTGTGAGAGCAGGGCCAGGAGCTGATCAATGATCCTGAGGGTCCCAGGAGCTCTCAGGGGTGCCCAGGACAGGATTTTGGGGTGTGAGAGCAGGGCCAGGAGCTGATCAATGATCCTGAGGGTCCCAGGAGCTCTCAGGGGTGCCCAGGACAGGATTTTGGGGTGTGAGAGCAGGGCCAGGAGCTGATCAATGATCCTGAGGGTCCCAGGAGCTGTCAGGGATGCTCCAGGTGGGATTTTGGGGTGTGTGAGGAGAGCCAGGAGCTGATCAATGATCCTGAGGGTCCCAGGAGCTCTCAGGGGTGCCCAGGACAGGATTTTGGGGTGTGAGAGCAGGGCCAGGAGCTGATCAATGATCCTGAGGGTCCCAGGGTGGGATTTTGGGGTATCTGAGCAGACCAGGAGCTGATCCGTGACCCTGAGGGTCTCTTCCAGCTCAGGACACTCCACAGCGCTGTCAGCACAGCCGCGCCGAGCCCCGGCGAGCTGACCCCACCGCTCCACCTGATCCTCACGCGGATTTAATCCATGTTTACCCACACCCCTCGGGGGCAGAGAAAGGCGGAGGACAGCGGGTGATGTACTCACGGGGCCGCAGGGCGTGGGGATGAGCTGCCGGTGCCGCGGGGTGAGGTTGGGCACGCCCGGCCCCGCCGCAGCCGCGGCGCCGCTGTGGGAGAGAGAGCGGGGCCGTCAGCGGGCCGCACCACCCCCGCCGCGGGGGGACCCGCCCGCGGCCCCCATCCCCACAACGGGCGCTCTAGGCGAGGTGCGGGGGGAGCGCGGGGAGGCACCCCCGCTCCGCGCGTGGTGCGGCCCGGCCCGCCCGTACCTGCCGTCCATGGCGGCGGCCGCGCCTCGCTTCCCACCGCGGGTCCTACATGGCTGCGGAGGGGTCCCGGCGGCGCTTCCGGGGCCGGCCCGCCCCGCGTCACTTCCCCGGCACGGGCGGGAAGCGCAGCCGCGCTCCTCCCGGGCGGCGGGGCCGCCGCGCTCCCGCCCCTCCG